CCCAACCCCCCTTGGGGGGGAAATAAAAAAAATGGTTTGGCCCCCGGGGGGGGATCCCAACCTTCTGGGGAGGGGGGCCCAATAGGGGCCCTCCCCCGGGTCCCAAATTGGGCAGCCCCTCCCAGGCGGGGGGGGAAAAAAATTCCGGGAGGGTTGGCAAAACCCCCTTTCCCCAGGGGGGAAGAAGGGGAATTTTCCGGGGGGGGGGGGGGGGGCCCCCAAGGCCCCCGGGGGCCCCCCCCCCCCCCAAAATCCCCCCCCCCCCCCCCAATCATTTGGCTCCCCCCCCCGCCCCTTCGCCCCCCCCCCCCCCCTCTGCGCGCTCCCCCATCCGCTGCGTCTCACATCCCCTCCTTCCCTCGCGTCCAGGACCGGCTGATCCTGCAGGCGGTGGCAGAGCACGGGACGAAGTGGGCGCTGATCGTCAAGCTCATCCCCGGCCGGACCGACAACGCCATCAAGAATCGGTGGAACTCTGCGACGCGCAAGCTACTGCGCATGCAGAAGCGCGAGGGGAAAGTGCCACTTTCGGACGCGTCGGGCGCGCCCGTCATGGTCGACATCACGCGCATGGGCGCGTCGGAGCTCGCGCGCCACCTCCTCACCGCCGGCATCAACCCTCGCGAGCCACGCGCCAAGCGCAAGCTCGTGGTGAACGTCGGCGAGCACAAGGAAGCTGCGGGCGCCTCTTCCTCTGCCAGCGTGGGTGGCCTCGACCTGCTCTCGCGCCTCGCAGCCGACGACGACAATCGCGACAACTCGCCCGCGGGCTTGCGAGCTGCCATGTCCCTTGTCGCGCAGATGCCCGCTCACGGCTCAAAGCGGTCGCGCCCCCGTCCTCAGCAGCAGCCAAAGCGGAGCGCCGGTTCATTTGCTGACATGGAGGCGGCCGCCAGCCTGGGCATGTTTTCGAGCGCGAGCGCAGCCGCAGCGCCCCTCGTCGCTCTAGCGGATAGCGCGACGACCATTGCAGAGTGAGTTTCCTGCCTGCACGCGCAAGCTCCTCTGCCTCTGCGGACGTGTGTACCTTAACCTGCTCAGTACAACGGTCTCAGCTCCATCTTGCTGTGAGTGTGGCGGAGATAGAGGCGCGTCTCGTCTGGAGGGCTGGTGCTTGGCTCGGGTGTCGCGCTAGAGGACGCGCGGCGGGCGCTGATGTGACCTCTCTCGGCGAGACACGCACATGTGGGGCGGGCGGAACGGGTATACGCGCGAGTGCGTCGGCGGGGCGGCGCCCGCGCGGGAATGCATGTGGGGCAACAGTCCAACAGAGAGCCCTGCGTTTGATTGGATTCAACGCTGCTTGTTGTTGCAATGTGGGGTAGCAAGCAAAGCGTGGCACGCCACTCTTTTCGTGCTCTTTCAGTCACTCTACACACACACACGGTCGTCACAGCTCACACGGCACACGCCGCGGCGCCGCCCGCCCGCCCCCCTTGGGCGTTGGGCCCACAGGCGCGCGGCCACACATTAGTGGCGTCACTAGTTACATCTATCCACTTGGCGCTCTGCCTAGCAAAGGCCGCGCGCGCCACGAGAGGGCCGCACTGCCGGCTCGTGTGGGGACTAAGAGGGCAAACGCGGGGGGATCTCAATTCAGCGCCACACTTCCTCAACGCTCGCATACAGTCGCCTCGCGCCCACCAGCGTCTCGCCCGTCATCCGCCGCTGCTGCGGCTCAATGGCGTCGAGGGCTCGCAACGCCTCCACCTCTCCCGCCCGGCCGCCCTCTCGAGGTGCGAGCCGCAGGGACCTCGCATTCTCCTCGATGCGCGCCCGCGAAGAGCTCTTTGGCACGACGCTGCACCCGCGGGCGATGGCCCAGCGCAGCAGAGCCTGAGCTGGCGTCCCGCCGAGCTGCGCTGCAGCCTCACGCACGACCGGCTCATTGAGCAGACTGGCGCCGGCGCCGGCGCCGAGGGCTCGGCCGAGGGGCGCGTAGGCTGTGACGTGGACTCCGCGCGCTGCGCACGCGGCGAGCGTCGCCTACTCACAGCAGAGGCGACATGAGGCGTGCCGCTGCGCGCCTCGGCTCGGCCGCCTCTCGACGGAGCCTCGTTGCGCCACCCGGGATGCACCTCCACCTGGTTGACGGCGGGCGCGACGGCGGGCCGCAGCGCGAACAGCGCGTCGAGGCGGCGCGCCGAGCAGTTGCACACGCCGATCGACGTGGCGAGCCCCTCCGCCGCGAGGCTCTCCATGCAGCGCCACAGGCGCTCGAGGGAGCCGTCGTCGCTCGGAGGCCAGTGCAAGAGGTACAGGTCGAGTCGGTCGAGCCGAAGGGCGCGCAGCGACCCGAGGCACGCCTCGCGCACGCGCGCGTGGTCCGAGGGCCAAAGCTTCGAGGTGACGTAGAGCTCCCGCCTGCGTGGGCCACCACCAGCCGGCGACCTCAGGGCCAGGGCCGCCGAAAACCTTCGACGAGAGGGCAGAGGGGCACGGGCGGCAGCGACGGCGGCGGCGGCAAGGGCGGCGCTGCCGCCCGCTCTCCTCCACGCAGTGTTTGGGTCGGCGGGGGGCGGGCTGGACTCCACCGAGGAATGCGGCCCTAGATGCGGGACCTCTCCCCGTATCTCCCCGTATCTCCCCGCATCTCGTGAGCGCGCCGCGCGACTCGGCCACTCGCAAGGGCCGCGTGCAACGCCGCGCCGACCGCAGCCTCATTGCGGTAGATGGACGCGCAGTCGAAGTGCCGCACGCCCGCGGCCAGCGCTGCCTCCACCGCAGCGCCCGCGGTGGCGTCGTCCCCGAGCCCCCACGTGCCGAGCCCAAGAAGAGGTATGCTGCCGCCGCCGCTGAGCGCCACTCGTGGGCCGCCGGCCGCGTCCAGCTCGCCAGGCTGGCCAGCCCCACCAGCAGCCCAACCCTCGGCCGCCGCCAATCCCTCGGCCGTCCCCCGCTGCCGGTCGCCCAAGCCACCCCCCGCCGCCGCCCCGCCCTCCGCCGCCGCCCCGACCCGCGCCCCCTCTCCCGCCGCCGCGGCCTCGTGCAACGCTCGGATCGCGCGACGCGCGAAAAAGTCGCGAAAGGTGGGCGGCAGGGTTGCGATCTCTGCGGCGGCCGCCTCGGCGTGCGCGAGCGCCCTTGTGGCGGGCGGGGGGTCCTGCACCGTGTGGAGGCTAGGGAGGTGTCTGCGGGGAGGGGAGGGGCGGCCAAGGTGGTGTTGCGGGGAGGGGAGGGCGCGGACAGGGGGTGGAGCTTC